TCATTGCGGCCAGAAATCCTTCACATCTATCGAGCTTGAGCGCGCTCGTAACTATTAAACTCAGTTCCCCAAATTGCGGCCATTCTCCACGCCTCGGATCCGCCAGGTTGTTCTGAACATGGTCTTCGAGGAAAATGATTTCGGAGCGCTGATGAGCGCGCTGAGCTGAATATGGGTGACATAGAGTGAAACTCTCTCATCCTCCTCTTCTTCTTTCCATGACTCCACCAATTTTCTCCTTTTCTATATCGTTAATTGTCTTTCCTCGGTACAATTATCTTTTGTTCACAGCTATATTCCAGATGGCGCCGAACGGCAACAACGATTCTAATTTCTCTTGCTTTTTTTGTTCTACATTCTGCCACCGCCATACGATTTGCCGCCAACGATGAAACTGTCGTTGAACCTGCATCAACACGCCCATCGAAGGTAAGGCAAATGCACGGTCCCTAATTAGTTGACCCACCGAAGCGAGATTGTGATCGCCGTGGAGTCTCTCGGATGTCGCATTATATACTATGTACTTTATCGCAGTATCACAATGTTGGAACTGGTAACACCGATTGCTGAGCCATAGTGTTTGCTCAACCGTAGGTTACCAAAGTGCTGCTTCTTACTCGCTAAAGCCAGATGAAGATCTCTTTCTCGCTTTTTAACATAATGCTCAAAATTTCCTGGGGCCGTACCGCTCAATTCCGTCCAATTGAACTCCTTGTATTGGCAGGGAATTCTTCGAAACTGATGGTTGGTTTACAAAAAATTCTAAAACTTTCTTTCTGAACAACTGCAAAATTTCAGTGGTTCAAGTAAGTATTAGAAAAACTCAAAATTAATTTCTGTTTGGAGTTGTTTAGGTGACGCAAAACTTTCGCTTCCTATCCTTCTTGTTTCTATCAGTTGAGTGCACTCAGGTCGCGCTGCACTACAGGATCTCTATTAATTACCCGTCAGAACGTTCATATTCACGGGGTGAACCGTTATCTTGACCCGCATTCTCGCGAACGGATCACCTTCGTAGGAACTCTACGAACCGGGCTAATGCCCGTTCATCGTCGCTCAGTGAGCGAAAATCTTCGCGGATTAATGATCGTTTCTTTGAGCAAACTACAACCCCTCGATGAGAAGCCAAGATTTTTCTGAGAAAATCCGCGAAATCGGTAGAAGGCCGCTTTAATTCCACTGATAACACTCTATGTGATATATTTGCTCAAAAGTGACACTTGTGTCAAAAAAATGAATCTTGATGAAAAAAAAGAAAAAATAAAATACAATATCATAAGCTCTCCGAAAGGGAACCGTCATTCGAAAGCGCCATAAACTCGATTGATAGGTGGCTTCGGAGATGCGTTGCTTTGCTGTTGTCAGCCTTCATGAGTCCCAGTGCATTCTCTCCTTTCTAGCCGGTGTGGACAAAGTCCGTAAGACGTCCAGAGGGTCCGGCTGTACTTCATCAATCGGATCATGTCGAGGTCAATCGTTGCGTTCCCACAGAGTGTTCCATTGTCGCAGTCTTGTACGATAACAGAGCTGATGCCTTAGATGATCGTCGCTTGATTGTTCATTACAAAGAGGAGCCCTCTCTGGGGGAGCTAAGTCCCTCTGGTAACCGTTCCAGCCGTCATTTTGCCAAAATGATAGTATAAAAAAGTGAGAGTAGTATTTTTGTGAATACGGTGATCTAAATCCCTAAACGGATTGACTTTTGATTAGAAGTGTTTCCTATTGGAACTTGCGTCACATTTAGCCCATCAAACTTAGCCGGATTCAGAATCGTATAACTTCGTATAATGTATGAAAACGCAATTATCCTATTGAAAATTCTCCTCTGACTTTGTGGACGATTCAAGAAAGTGATTGGCTTACAAAACCAGCTCAATTCAACTTCTCAGATACTGGAGTTTTTCCCATTCCAATATACAATTCCAGCATTAAGTTGCTCCCAGGGCCAGACACGACTTATTATTCTAGAGTGCTGCTCACTTCTCCCACTTGCATCAGAAGGAATGGGTTCCTGGCCCGAACGGCTATCTATACCAATTCCACTCAGGAGATCAGAGTTGGCTCGCAGCCAGGGAATATTGTCTCTCTCAAAATTCTGACCTTGTCATTTTGAGGGATACCAAGCAAATCGTAAGTTAATTTTTCTGCAAACAATTTCACCCTCAGACCAACATTTTCTATTCTAAGGACTGGCTCCTGGACCACATATGCTCCAACGTCTGCTCGATTTGCTGAGCGATATATCCAGGTAAGAAATCGCTTAGTTCTCACTCTCTATGTACTGCAATAGTTTCTGCCAATTAAGATCGGTCTGATGATTCCTGATGGGCCGAGTCGCGACTGGATGTACCTGGACGGCTCTAAATACAATCAGTCCATTATGTGAGTGTTCAATTCCTTTCTGGTATCACAAATTCAAAAGAATGCAAAAAGTTCTCTACAATCGAAAGTATGCGATTCCTATTACCTGTTTTTCTCAAGGAGTCGACATCGGGGGAGCAGACCCACTAAATTCAATCATGTACCCGGACTTACCTGTTTTCATGCCAGATTTGACGATACAGCACCCTTCGACGCTGGTGGGCTTCAGTGGAGGACTCGCTATGAAGAGAGCCCAACCAGCATCCCCTCCTCCAATCCTTCCTAAGACTAAAAGGAAGGTCTTCCAGAATTGCCAATTTTTCAAAATGCCTTTTCCTGGTACTAGACACATGCGGAACTACAGAACCGTGGTTATTTCCCTTAACGGCCTGCTCGAAACCAACAAAGGGTGCCCCAAACACACTCCTTTTCACTCAGTCATCACAAATTCTATCTGTAAGGTTACTGGACTCCTAATCATTTATCGAAATTGGTACTAATATCATGCCAACTACATGTTGTGCGAACTTGGAAACGTCAACACGAAATTGCAAAAACTTGTCACCACGAGGTATCGAACCAGGGACCTTTTTCTGGTATTCAAGAGCCTTTCAGGGAAAATTATCCATGGTTCTGTGGTTCCCGCATGTGCCCTCTACTATTTCATGTGAAAGACCTTTTCGAAAAAGCTTGGCACACCACCCTAAACGAGCTCTGAGGGAGGAGGGGGAGAAGGCGGTGTATGTGGGAAATTTCATTTCCTCGAAATAATACCTCTTCCTCTTGCTCATGCCGCTAGCGACGCCTTCCCAGCGCCCTACCCGTCGGATGATTCCCTAGTTTTTAGCTTACCCGTAAAAATTCGTCGATTGCTGAACTCTTTTTAAGATAGGAAGGTCAAGTTTCATACTAAGCGGTGGCTGCTCATCTCTGAAGTCCTCTTATTAAGTGTTTGATTTTAGCTCCTGTGTCCGAACCGTTCGATCACATGGCTTGATTATTTTACGACCGATGGCCTTGAGGGTGTGCCTCACATGCATCACGATTCTGGACGACGTCGACTGTGAAGCGTCTCCACGCAACCAGATGCCCGTCCGATTCATCTGCGAACGAAGTGGTGTCCGTCACAAGGAAGTGAGTTTGAAGGCTCGCGACTTCTTTAAGTTGTCCTCACCGACCTTCATATTCCAGCAACAACTATCGAAAAACTTCATTTGGGGAAAACTGGAACAACTTCTTGAATTCTTCGGATTCGGCAACGGCACACAGCCAAAGAAGGCCAACGGCACAAGTATCGTCGAAGACGATTATGTCGACGAGGTAAGGTCGTTGAGCTCAAGATTACTCAACATGTCAATAGTAGACTCAAAGTCGTCTTGACGACCGTAATGGCTCTGAAGTTGAGTGTAGAAATGTAAACAGCTAGGCCAGCTTTCCTCGAACTTCATTAGAAGATCAGACTCTCCAACAACTTCAAGGAGGGATTCACAGATTATAGTAAACTCGAAGAGTAAATGTCCTAGCTGAGACCCGTCACAACCTCCGAGAGGGGTTTTGCTCTTTAGTGTACCACTCCACACTGGGGAGTTCAATTTGGAAATTTGCTTCCAAAGCGTGAATTTGTCCTTTAAGTCTTCACCAGAATTTGCACCAAAATCCTCTATCTCCGCTTTCGTTGAATGTTTCACAGCCGATCGGGCTTAATGGTGAAACCTTTGCACAGTCGATATCGAAGGAAGAATTTGAGCGGGGAAGAATTTTTCAGGTCAGTAAGCTGAACATCACTTCCACTGAGCGTGAAATGTTGAAAAAGATCAGATTATTCGAGACGTCAAGCGAAGAGGAGCGCGAGGTGCTGTCGGCGCTAAGAAATCTGAACAATGTAAGAAAAAAGTTCTACTAAAGTTGCCACATCCTACTTTCTTTCATAGCTCGCAAAAGTGATGTAGTCAGATAAAAACCTCTCGCACTTTCTTTCAGCCTGGATCCACAAATGGTCCGGAGACTTCTAGTACTAGTGAAGTGACTTCTCCAGATGCCCTGCAAGAAGTTCGACCGCAGACAAGCACGGAAATCGAATCTACCGGTAGGGTGTTCTCCTCACAAATACTAACCACATTTCCTCATAACTTGAAAAAAACAACGAGTTCAGGTTCAACCACAATCACGCAGCTAACCACTGAAGACCTCTCGACGACGGCGACTGCAGAAGAAGCAACGACGTCTGCTAGCGAAGCCCTCCGACAGTAGACAGCACTTCAGCAGATACAACACCAGAAGAGAGTACAACTCAAAGCCCGACTACCGAGGAAAGCAGGCCGACAGCAGAGGAAATCAATGCTGAATCGTCGACGGTCAGGGAGAGTACCGCTGAGACGTCGGGAGAAAAGACTAGTGAATTGTCTACAACTGAGGAGAACACGACTGAGGTGCCGACGACGGTGGAAAGCACAAACGAGGTGTTGACGACAGCGGAAAGCGAGACTGATCTACCAGCAGCAGAGAAAACGAAAGAAAGCCGTTCCGGCTCGAGCGCTTGCAGTCCCACTTCGAGAGATCACTGAGAGGGAAGGCAACGGAGCAGCTGTAGACAAGAGCCAAATAGAGAAGGTACATTAGTAGTATTCGAATTCACTTTTTACCAACCTAAGTCAAAATTTTTGCAGGATTCTTCAAAGCACCAACATGAAATTGACCCGGAAAAATTAGAAAAGATTATCAACACTATGGAGAAAATGGTCGCAAACCTTGAGAATATTTCGATTATCGAGAAACGTCCAGAAACCAAGTCGGAAACCGGGAAGGAACTGGTTCAGGCGGAGGTAGAGATACGAAAGAAAGAAGCGGCCAAGGAGGATGCACAAAAAAGCGAGACGAGGAAGAAAGTCAAAGCAAACGATGGCCTTGTTTCTATATCAAAGGTAAAATTCATACAGTAACAAATTGGCATCAATCGAATTAAATTAAAATAATACATATATCAGTTACCATTTCTGTGACTGTCACATTTCAGCCTGATAAGGAAGATGGAGCGGGGCAAGCTGATATGGAAAAGGATTTCGACGAGAAACTAAACAAGAAAATGGTGAGTGTCAAATCCGCGTAGTCCAAATATTTCCCTCTGGCTAGCGGTAATTGCTATTCTAGCCAACAACGGACATCAAGCCCCCAGTTGATGAGGATTGCGAAGAAGGGGGGAGCGGAGAGAAACCGACGACTCAGACCCCGCCAGAGGAAGTGGTGAAGAATGCCATCGACACGGAAGACGTGGACGACCTCAGCCAGAAGCCGAAGATTCCTGTTGAAAGGGAAGAGCACATACAGGATTTCCTCCGGACTCTGCGCACTTTCCTCAGTCGTGCCGAACACAGTGACTTGAGGTTGGAAAGCTTTTCTCTCAGAAAATTTTGTCTAAG